TTACTCTCTTGAATAAAGCACGATAGAATATTTTTGAAGTTATATTTACGTATGATTCTTGTACTTAACAATTGTGCGCAATTATGGTAACTGGCACATGAGCTCTGGCTCACATGGAAAGGGCAATGCTTCTTTAAGAGAGCCAACTGCCAAACTTTAAAAGATTTTTTAACTTGGCAAAATAATTTTTGCCGTGGCTGCACTTACAGCTAGTCAGGATCCGCGTCCAGATTCTTGTTTTTGTTTTTTTATTTAAATGTCGTGGGGCCCACTTTTTTATGTTAGTTGTAGAGAGTATTATCTACGGCGGCTGCAGAAATTTTAAGCCCTTTTAAGTTACATATATATGACGCAGAATTTTTTGACATCGGTGTCAAATTTTGAAATTTGACATCAAATCTTAACCGTTAATTTTCACCACTTAACGGTTATTATTTATTGAGAATTAATATTAATTAATGAGTTTGATTCCCAATAAATGATAACCGTTGATTGATGGAAATGAACGGTTATGATTTGATGTCAAATTTCAAAATTTAACACCGGTATCAAAGGATCCTATTTCTATATGTATTAGGCAGGATCCTTTGATACCGATGTCAAACTTTGAAATTTGACACCAAATCCTAACCGTTAATTTTTACCGATCAACGGTTATCATTTATTGAGATAAGATTGTCTACAGTTACTTTTTTTTTTTTTGACTAAGTCTGACTAGTAAGATATAAAAATTGCATTTTCTCTTTCCGCATATCAACCAACAATGTCTGAGTAAAAAAGAAGAAGAATAACTTTATTGTTATAACTATATCTTACTGGTCGGACTTAACTAAAAAGGATATAATGTGTACTTTTTCCATATATATATATATATATATATATATATATATATATATATATATTTCATTAGGGCCAGTTCTTCTTCTACTTGAGCGAAAAAAGAATTAGGGCCAGTTCTTCTTCTACTTCAGCGAAAAAAGAAATACAGATGTATAGTGAAGAACATATGAGATTAAGATGATCGATAATTTAGATCTTTTGATAAAAAAACCCTCAAAAGAATATGACTAAACTTTTATAGATGAAGATAATAATAAAATTCACATTAGAAAACAAAGGGGCACTCTGTCATTCGTTTTGCAGCTTGTACTCAATCAAGAGAAAGAGTTGACTATGAGATAGTTTATCTTTATCATTGTCATCAGTTGCAACTTGTTAACATGCAGACGCAGTATTTAATATTGCTTTTGGATCAAGTTCAAAACTTTTTGGCCGGCTGGCCTAATTGGTCATTCAAACCATCAATTCCCATTATTCCCGCTAATACTTATAGCTAAGATGTGAACTTTATTGCTACCTGGTATATTCCATGAAAAATTTCTTAAGGAGACATGGTCTTCTATAACACTGATCATACTTATTGTTAACATGCATATTATTGTGTGTCATGTTATAAATATACATAGTTTTAAAAATATTTTCATATATGTCAATTATTTGTTTGCATACCTAAGAATTACTCATGTATGTAACAAAAGAAGCTCAAATGGAATTGTGCAATTTTTGACAGTAAAAGATGACCTCCAAGGACTTTAGGCCGAAGAGAATTTCTTGGCATTGCATAAGGCCAAGACACAAGAATTTCCTTTTCAGTTGGATTCTTTATCTCTCTTGAATTGTCACCCTCAAGTTTAGTTGTATGTCATACTTTGAATTCTTCAGCTAGTGTTAAATTAGCATCAAAAGAGAAAGCGGAAAACAATGGGATCCAACTCGTCTTCAAAGCCATTACAAAATTTAATTCTTTAGGAAGGAGAGGAAAAAAAAAAAAACTAAATCAGACCATAGAATAAACTTGTTAAAAGTAATATAATTGCAATGCGGTTTGTAAATAGATAGCAGAAGTGAGGGCATTTGGCAACTCCAGCTAGCTTGAAGCGCAAGTTGAATTGCAATGCAGTTTGTAACTAGGCAGGAACATTATTAAAAGTTGAATTGTTCAGAGAAACATTATATAATTTGGAAGGAATATGATTATTCTACTTTATTAAGGAAAATTGAAAAGTCAAGTCAGCATGCCTTCTTTCTAATCCAGGATATTAAAAAAAAGAAGCATGAGTTCTCATTCACCTTTTGTATTTTAGTTTTTTATTTTTTTATTTAACAAAAAACTTTTTCTTCCAAATTATCAACTAAATCCACGTAGCTATGTGCTTCAATCTCTCACTAATTTTTCATTTTCGAAATATTTGAAGTTTATGTGTGTGTGTGTGTGTGTGTTAGTTACACTTTACAGTGTGATTGTGGAGGTTAAATTACACACACAGAATCCTTTCGTTTACCATAAGCAAGCTTGAATTTTTGATTCATGATGAAAAATATAATACTTGATGATTAATGAGGAAGCTGGGCATGTTCCAGGACCAGACCTACTGGGGGGTCCATACACCAAAAATAATACCCTCACACTTGTACATCAACAGTGAAGTAATGATGCCCCTGTTTTGCAGTTTATGTTGTGTATGACAGATTCCTATTCCTACCTATTCCTCATTTAATTACCTTTCATCTGATTACATTCTTATGTATTCTAGCATTAAAACTTAATCAGAGCATAAGACCTATATGTTCTTTCAGTTCTCACTTCTCAGGCTTTGAAAATAGTTTGCAGTCTTTTCAATTGTACCTTCATATGAGTTTTTCAATCTACAAATCATGCCCACTTGTTTTTAAAAATTGTTTTATCTGCGAGGGTACTCTTTTTTTACTTTCTAATTTTTATTTTCACCTCGTGCTAAAACTTTGATTTCAACTAAACTTCTTTGGCATAGGTGATAAGGAGCCTGATCCCTTAATCAGAAGTCTTGAGTTCGAGTCCTAGAAATGAAAAAAAAAAGAATTTGGAAGAACTGTCTTCGAAAGGGGGTCTAACAGTGCTCGAGTGGAAATTAATCTTCGGTTACGGCCGGATGATACTTTTAATATTACTAAAAAAAAACCTTAATTTCACGAAACTTTTTTCTGTCTCCAAAACCTTTCGGGCATCTTTTATTTAGTGACACTACATAGCTTAGGTTTCACAATTCATGATGGAAGTTTGATGGGAGAAAACAAAAAAGAAAGGGAGGTTGAGAGGAAGAGAAGATGGAATTTGAAACTGTAGACCAAAGCTTTAATAATTCATTGCCTTGTATTGATTAAAAGGTTTTATTTTTCTTATGTGACATAAGATAAATCTTCTCTCTTACTCTCACAACAAATAATGGAACCTACTTTATTTTTATTTTTTTAAAAAGAAAAAAAATAGAGCACGGAAATCGAAATGAAAGTAAAAAATAAAAATTTTCTTATGTGACATACCCTTCATTGAAATGCTTTTCTTTCCCAACTGCAACCATATTATATTTTGTCTTTAAGAAGTAGAGTACAACTAATTAAAATAGTAGACACACTCCATTCTAATGATATTAAATATTTTATTCAGGATTTTATTATCATCGAGAGTTAATAGTTGGGAAACATTAGGGAAAGTCATTACCATGTCTAGCACGTATCGTGCCTTTAATCATAGATGTATTGGGAGTAGGAGTTGGTGGGTCTACACTACAGGGCAAATTTATTTTGTGGGCCAACATTTATTCATGGTTTCCACACTGCTCTTTTCATTTCTTTGGTTATAATAAAATAAATAAATATTATATTTATAATTTTTTTATTTATAAACTTTTACAAATTTAAATATGTATTTCGGAGAATACACGCATAGTTATTTATATTTCTCAAAATATATAATTAAATTTTTAAACATAACATTTCCTAACAAATTTTTTTTGACATCATAAAGAAAAAGAACCATAAATCTATCTTCCATCCCATTACATTGTTGGCTTCAATGGTCCCTTTGGAAGATCCCCCAAGTTGGTACCAGGCAATCTCAAAAGTCCCAAATCCCTACCAAATTTTGAGGGGTTTGATTCCGGTTGATGGGTCCTTGGAAAATTTAGCCTATCTATTCAAGCGTTTTCAAGATGCTTTACCAACTCATGCAGAAAATTGGGCTTTATCTTGAGACTTAAATTTAGAAGGATTATGAATTTTAATCATAGTCCGACACGTAGTAGAACATTCTGACAAAATTGATATTTTTTGGTACCAAGTGGTTAGCGTTGCTAAATAATAAGCTGAATCAGCAAAGCGTTGAAGGTAGCTAAGCCGTACCCATATTTGGCAAATACGAGTAATACCACTTCTCAAAGATTAAAAAAGAAAAAAAAAATGAAAGAAACATCTCAGAAACAATATCTTAAAATATTTTTTTTTGGTAGTTCGAAAAATAATTTAAAGAAATTAGTGTAATAATTAATAGACTTTTTTTTTTTTTTGGAAATATTCGAATCGGTTCATCGCTTCGCGATTAGTCCGATTCGAGGTGGGTCAAGGATTAATGCTTTAAATCCCTTCCAAAAATAATACTAGGGAGTCCCAAACACATGTTTTCACCTTCACTTGCTCAGTTCTCATGCGCCAACTGAACTACCACTAGTTGGTATAATTAATAAACTTCAATAGTTCTCTAGTTGCTTTGTAAACCAGAAAATATAGCAGAACTCATCAATGATATTAGTCTCTCATAAGCTAGGATAACTCTTTCTCCTTATTGCGATTCTTAATAATCACCAATACATATATGTGCAAAATTAAACTATGACTGCTGAAAAGAAATATAAGGGTAAGAGGTAGATCAACTTTTTGGGTAAGCTTTTTTTTTTTCTTCTTCTTCCTTTACAACATTTAAATTCTAGTATTAACTGGCAAAACAGATTAAAAAAAGCACACCACGTATGTTTCTACCTAAATTTTCTATTATTTTCCTTATGATAAGATGCATATTATTATTATAGGTATAGGTGTGTGTCATGTTAAATGGTAATGGTCCTGTCAGGAAACAAGATTGTTTTGCCTTAGGCTCTCCTCCTTTCATTGATTTTTCTTCTTTCTCTGTTTCCTCTTCAGAAAGCCAAGAAGACACTTGAAAATGCAGCCATCATCTCCAGCATCGTTAGAACTCATGATTTCTTCTTAGAACCCGAAAACAAAAAGCACCCATTACCCATCTGCTCCAAAAGTTCAGATCTTTACCTCCAGTTTCTCTGAAGAATCTTTATGCAAAATGAATGTATCAGACTTAGTTTCTTGTTTTAGCGAGAACGCAGTGAATGTATCACATTCCTCATGTTCTAGCTACTCAAACAACGCTTGCATCTCTCCCAACCTTGCACCTTCAATTCAGAATTCAGTCTCTTCTGTCTACAAAACAATCATCTCCAACCAAAAGCAGCTTTTGATCACAGTAACTTGGTGTAAGAGTCACTCCAATCAAGGACTCACCATAAGCTTTGGCGATGAAGAACCAGTAGCAGCAGCTTTCAGACTCAACACCAATTCACGGTTTTTCAGAAAGAAGAAAGGAAGCAAATTGCTGGAATCTGATGAGTCAAAGGTTGAAGTCTTCTGGGATCTTTCAAATGCCAAGTATGACACTGGTCCTGAACCTGTTGATGGGTTTTATGTTGCAATTCTCGTTGATGCAGAACTAGGTCTGATTCTTGGTGACATGGCTGAAGAAGCTGTGACCAAGAAGCTAAAAACTAGAACCCTTTTGGCTAAAGTATCACTGTTATCACGACGAGAGCATTGTTCAGGAAATACCCTTTACACAACTAAGGCTCAGTTCTGTGACACTGGCACTTTGCACGACATTTTGATCAGATGCAGTGGAGAAAATGAAGGGTTGAAGTCTCCTGTTCTGTCGGTTTGTATTGATAAGAAGACAGTGATTCGTGTGAAGAGGCTGCAATGGAACTTCAGGGGTAACCAGACAATTTTTGTTGATGGGTTGCTGGTTGATTTGCTGTGGGATGTTCATAACTGGTTTTTCAACCCTGCTTCTGGGTATGCAGTGTTCATGTTCAGGACAAGGAGCGGTTTGGATAGCAGGTTGTGGTTAGAGGAGAAGAGCACACTGAAAGATAAAGATAGAGTTGAATTTTCCTTGTTGATCTATGCCTGTAAGAGCAGATAAGGGAACTTGTTCATCTTAGTTTTTTTAACTCCTTTTTTCTTGTTTCTTTTTTTTGATTTTTTGTTTTTTAGTTCTTGCTTTAACTCTTTTTTTTTTCCCTTTATTCTTGAAAGGATATATACTAATTATTATTTTTTATCATAGGAAACAAAGAAAATAATTAAAGTTGCAGATATTTTAGTTGTAACAGAAAAATTGGTTGTGCTTGTGTCCTTTCTTTCTCTGCATTTTTCCTTGAGTAGTGTTCAATTCAATACTGGATTTCTACCAAAGATTAGCATGGTCAATTGGTCATGAGGAAAAGAAGTACAAAAATGTTCGAAGTTTTGTTTTTATTTTTATTTTTCCTTTGTAAGAAAGGAGTATGGAGTTAAGACATGGATATCGGTGAAGATTTGCTAAAAGTGAAATTGAGATTTTGGTTGGCATAGTTGAATTGCTTTTAGCCTTTATAGGAGAATAAAGTTGAGAATCTTACCAATGAACAATATCTTGACCACATTATTCTCCTTCGCTCTTTACAATTTTGTTTGTAGCTGTTAACTGTAACGTTGCTAAAAAAGCTTTACATGATAACCATCCATTGATATAGACAAGTACTCGGAAGGTATAAATATTTAAATGTAATCAAACTTATAGCAATTTACTGAGCACTTAGGCATGAACAGGTCTAGAAGGAAAATAATTAAGCTAGGTTATTGGGTCACTTTCATATCAAAATCATTCGAACCAACCTTAAAACGTTTTAAATAATCTTCTTGTCTTTACTGGCGTGGTGTAACCTTTCACTACCATGATGGTCTATTCCTCTGTCCTTGGACCCCTATACATGTGTTTGTGACTCCTTGGTCCCTGCAATCCTCAAGTCCACTAGCAAAAATCAATGATTACAAGCACCGCCTGTTGCATGGATAGGCAAGAACAATGATCGTTCTGGGCAAGATAAGGGTTTATACTGGAATAAATGGAAAAGAACATAGACAATTATTATTATTATTTTCTACTGTTCTGTACTTAGTCACTCCCCTTTTGTTTTCAGTAAGTGCAAAGATGTGTTAGGTAATAGGTATCTACCTGCAGGGTATCATCTTTCAATTATGTCCTTTGACTGAGTATATAATTATTTAAGAGCATGTTTATATACTTTTGCAACTTAGGATCATCCCATCATACAGTAGTTATAATGCTTATTGCATGTTAGGTTGTGTTCGGTATGTGTTACTTCGTCGGTTGTCAAACTCTTAAATGCTCTTAACTACTCTTAATCGTGAAGCTAATAAAGTGTGCGTTACTCACTACACATTGTCAATCTTTACTATTACTAAGGTCATCTTTGGTGCATAGTATAGGATAAGGCTTGATAGTACAAGACATGATAGTATAAGGTCTGATTGAATTTTAATACTATCAAGCGTTTGGCACGGTATTGTATAAAATAATATATTGTATAAGATAATATCATCTAGTATTTGGTAATGCACTGTATAATACTATATATGATAAAAATAAATATTATTAATAAAAATATCCTTTAATAAAAAATTTATATAATTCTTCAAAAAATATCATATGATATTAATTTTTATAAAAATTTATTGATCAGTGTGTCCAAAATATAAATTAATTTTTATAAAGAAAATATTCAATATTTTAAAAATTAATATATTAAAAAATAATTTTTTATTTTAATAGATTAATATTAAAATAATATATTAATTTTTGAGAATTATATTGGTCAACGATGTTAATACATCAATCTTTTATAAGGTCTTATTTCTCACCCTTAGGCCGGATTAAGTTATACATCGTTTTGATGTATTAAGGGATTATGTTGTATAAGCTTATACTATACGGTGGTCACACCAAATAACTGAAAATATCATAACGTATAGTATAAGCTTATACTATCATGCCTTATACGTCGTACCATAGCTGAATGTTGTGCTTTAGTTGCATTAGTCGTAGAGAAAAAAAGTCAGGGCATTCTTGACCAAATATGGAAAAAAATATATATTTCCTTTTTTTTTTTCATTTTTAATAAGAGAGTAGGTACTTCCTTAGCCCACAAGATGTGCTCGGTTTTGTGCACTGATTTCTGCTTTTAGTAAGTGGTTGTAATAAATAGTACTTGTATTTATAAAAAATAATAATAATAAATAAACAGTTTGACTTTGTGCTCTTAGCAGTTAGCACCATAAAACATGAACACTTAATTTTAAAATCATGTTAATTTTTTAATTTTAAAGCATTAATTCTTTCTTTAAAGCAATGAGTAATTTTTTTTTTTTTTGTTATCTCATGTATCATATATTATAGTTTGGTTCATATTTTTTCTTTTAAAAGAAACTAAATAACTCTCTCTCTCTCTCTCTCTCTCACTTCACTCTATTAGTTTTCTTTAATTAAATAAACCTGATTCCTTTGTATTTAATTAATTTTGGGTGGCTTAAGCTTAAATTGTTATTTTTACGCGAAGCCTTTAAATGAATCATATATGAGAAAACGCACAAAACATTAAAAAAGAACTAGGCCTTGTGGTTATCAACTTGATAATTAGTGAGTGTTTTTCCTTTTCTACTTTTAATTTAGAACCTCCAACAAGCACTAAAAAGGAAAAAAGAAAAAAGAAAACTGAAATAGCATGAATTACTCAGCACTCCAAATTGAACCTAATTTCATTGACCCAGACTCAATACAGCATAATAAGCCCAAGTTTAATAGCAATATGACAACTCTTTAGCAACTGCCCAAGAACTTTGCTATTCAGAAGCCCAATTTTAATATGAACAACATGCTGAACTTGGTTTTATGAAGATTTTGGAGGGCTTGGCCTCTCCTTGTAACCAAAAAAGAAAAAACAGGCACACTATGTGAATTAGAGGTATAGTGGTTTATCAGGGAAGGGTCTGTAATAGAAAGATTACTTGAAATTTTATGAAACATACAGCAAATAATAAATAAACAAAGTACTCTTTAAGTCTCTAACCTATGAATTCAGTCCCTAGAGAAGCTTGGTTAGACATCCATGAAGAAGGCAACTACACCAATGAAAGAAAGTAATGCTATCTAAGTACAAAAGCGTGTTAAAAATGGACAAATTCACTGTTGAAGAATGCTTCTTCCAATGTGGTATTTCTGTCAAATCTGGAGAAATGAAAAAAAGTGAGTGAAGATAGTGACATTAATACCCCTTTGTGATATATGTTCTAATGGTTCAAAATTTTATAAAAAAGGTTACTTTCGTAAATTTTATCTATTTTCCTATTAAATTTTTATTTTCAACCAAACATATACTCAGCATATTTAACCCAATTTCTCCACTAATATTTTACCGTACCAAACAACTTCTTTTAAACTTTTCTACCAAACTTACTTTCCAATGTTTTTCCTTGTATTTACATTTCTTTAGTAAAAAAAATATCTCCTGAACCAAACACCCCCAAGTGTGTTTGATGGCTAAAAGTAATGGAATCCTTCAACCAAATGAGGAGAATGGAGATTGCTACATGCACTTAGATAGGAAAATTTTGAAAACTTTTGAACCAAACACCCCTGAAGAGAAAAAAAACATTAACAACAGATTTTATGGACCCACTTTCTGAGATGAGCTTTTCTTCTTCAAAAACATCATCAAAGTCACCAAGCCATCAAAATAAATTAAACAAATGGAAGCAAAATAAAGAAAAAAAAGAAAAAAGTTTTATACATGTCAGAGATCAAGGTACAGTGCAGTGTGTTGTGTGGCATAAACACTTTAACCAAACACCATAGTTGCCATAAGGCTTTTCACACTCTTTAAAAAGATCCTGTACATGATCTGGAATGTCAAGGAACATCCTTGTTCCCAACTCATATCCTTTAACTTCACCACCTGAAGAACTTCTATGTACCCAGCTGTAATGAGAGCAGTTCAAATGTTCAGGATGAAAACCCTTATCCACTTTTTGCAGAACTTCAATAACGAAACATGCATAAGGCTTTTTCTCTTGCTCGTGAATCCTATAAGATGTTGAAGCAGCAGCTCCACATTTATGCAAGCATGTGCATGTTTGCATAAATGGTGGAATGGAAACTCTTCAACTTGAGAAGTTGAAAAGAAGAAGTGATTTAGGCCTTATGTGTTTCTTGAATGATGGAATGCAAACCACATTTATGCCTAAATAGAGTTTCTTGAATGGCTTCATGTTCACCCCTTTTCTCTATAAATGCAACAAAAGATGCTTGAATTATCAAATTTTGAAACCTGTGGGGTTTCTTCTCTCAGGATGATACTAGATAGCAAGGCATAATATTGGAATTTCGAGAATCTACTATTTTGAAATGTGTTGAGATATATAGTCCTACGTTGATTGTGTGAGCAACTAATGTGGAGTTTATAACGACTTGGGCACTCCCACCCTTTGAGCTAGTTTTTGGGTGGTGTATCCCACGGTTCTTTACATGGTATCAGAGTCTCCGTCCCCCACGTTCTCTTGTGGCGTTTCTTAGCACAGGTAAGCTGGGCCTGTTCCATTGTTCACTCTTCAAGCCCAATGGGCTCTCGTGTGAGAGGGCGTGTTGAGATATATAGTCCCACATTGATTGTGTGAGCAACTAATGTGGAGTTTATAAGGACTTGGACACTCCTACCCTTTGAGCTAGCTTTTGGGATGGTGTATCCCAAGGTTCTTTACAAAATGGATTTCCAAATTGACCCCATGGCTGATTAATTACCTTTTTTTTTTTTTTCCACTTCAAAAAGTTCATATATTGCTTTTGTGGGAATCTGTGGCCTTTTATTTTTGTGATTTGCCTTGCTTTTTTTGCATGGAATATGACTTGTTGTCATCCTTCATAAATAATTGTATTATCAAGCTATGCATGTTCCTCACCATTGATTATCTTCTCGTTCTCTTCCCTGTTAAGGTTGCTTTTCTGTTTAGGCTCTTTTAGGCCAGGCAAGTGATGTTATTCTGTAGAAGTTAATGAACGCCTTGACCAGAGCTATTTGTTGTCAATCAGAACCGTTCACTTGATCAATCTAAGAAACCAAAAAGGGGAAGATGCAGTTGTTGACTTGGGGCATAGCCTATTTACAAGGTTTTAAAAGTGGTGATGATATTTTCTCAGTATTGTGCTTACTACACATTCCTCACACTTCAACCTTATTGAGAAAAAAGTGTGAGAATAAAGGTTCACATTGGTTAATTCAATAAAAATGAATTAAGTGATGACTGTATAAATATATTAAATCTACTTGTTTTGTTTTGTTATTATACAGCTTATTATGAGTGTTTGGTTTTCTTTTATTTTTTATGGGCCCAGAAAATGTGCTAATAATACACACTAGATGAAGTAGAAACCGAGTGGGAATTAGCATTAACAAATACAAACTCCTAGAACTATCGATCAACTAGAAGGCAAAAAGAGTTTATCATTCATAAGTCACACCACGAGTTCAAATTGCACGAGATCTGGTAGGAACAAACAACCCATAACTAAATTACTACAAATAGCGGACACAAGCATACACACACTAAATAGATTTAACTCTTAAGAGACACAATCTTTATTGCTGGAATATCTTCAGGATCATGCTGGTGCCTTGACAAGAGTAGATGGGAAATCCAGCAGCACAATCTTTTCAATAGCTGCTGAAAATGTGGCCGAGAACTCAATATGATTTGGATGGCTCTGAAATGCAGCGAAGTCTTCTTTCTTGCTGAATGTCATAAAAAAGGCATGAGTGAAACCTTGTCTCAGCACATCTAGGCTTTCAATATCCTCTCCCCTGTTTAACACAAATGCAAGCATATAATATGATGGTAAGTATATGAGAAATATAAAATCTTTAACTGCTTGGGCTTATATTTTACTAAAGTTATCAGGGGAATGTTATATTTACAAACATTTTGTTTATAAACTCTTATAAACTATATTATGTCTAGCCGGTAATACACTTTTGAGTAAAGTATTACCAGTCAGACATAATGTAGTGTGTAAATTTGTAAAAAAAAGTTTGTTAATATAACCCTATTCAAGTTATTATAGTGCTTCTAGCTTTTGACCTCTCAAAGCAGTTATTCTTCTCCAAACTATACAAGAGTGACCAAACAAATAAATGCAGAAAACATACCATTCAAAGGACTTGACAGCATCAATCTCCGAGACCAACTTCTCCATCCCTTTGGTGAGTTCTTCAACTACCACACCTTCCTTGAACTTAACAATTACTAAGTGCTTGAATTCCATCATGGCTACCATACCTATGAACAAAAGCTTGTTACTAGCAACCTAATATATATTCAAAATCTGCACTTCAAACCTCACAGTCTCGATTTGTCCACTATCTGTCAGAACCCCATGACTCATTTCACTGCTCTGTTGGCGTAATTGATTACCAAAAAGTTGAAATAGGAGACAGCATCCACGGCTCAATCTTAAGAAAGGTACTACTTCCTTTCATATGTAGACCCACCAATGAGCAACTTTCTTTCAATTACACAGCAAAAATTGTCTCGTGCCATTGTCGTAACCTCATTCTGAATCAGAAAACATCATGATCATATATTGAAGAACCCTTTTCTTTCCTTCACTAGCTTTTCCTTTTCTCCATGTCCTTATCATGTGCACCTCCAAGGTAAATTATTGGTGTTTGATACTTATCGTTAAGGAATCTTAAATACTGCGGGCCCTGTCTTATGGGCGTGAAGAACATTAAAAATGACATCCAAGTGACTTTAATTTTTAAGATACATAGCCTCACTTGGCTTTCACAAATTCAACTGTTTTATTTTTAATTTCATCTGAATAGTACTAGAATTAACCTTTTCCTAACGTTTTGTTTAGGTTGGACACTTTTCTTTTGTCGAAACACGTTTTATGTGGTTAGTAAAATGATATGTCATCTATAAATTATTATGGATGCTCTCATATGACTAGTAGGTAATCTGTCTTAATCATCAGTTATCGGACAAAAATGCCTATATAAGACCACTGATTAATTTGTCATAATTTTTTTTTAGGTGACTTTCGATCAACAACGGTTTGACTTACACCAATCATAACTAGGGGTTTTCGCGGTTTGGATTGGATCGGTTTTGGAAGCAAAAATCATTCAATCCAATCCCTTCGGTTTGATCATATAATCATACATTTGGTTTGAATTTTTTTTCAAATCCGTTCCGATCCAATCCAAATTTTTTCGGTTTGGATTGAATCGGTTTTCGGTTTTTTGAAAATCCTAAAATTTATTTCATGATTATTATACAAATAGCATCTTTTGTATATATTGACTTTGTAAATTAATTTTTTTAAATACAAAAGCATTAGTAAATTATAATATAGTTTTTTTTGGACAATAAAATATGAAACTCTACAAAGATAAAATTTTGTTGATGAGATGTAACTAGATTTTTTTGTAGTTTAGTTGATACCCAATGGATCTTGGGTTTAGAAATTTTTGTGCTATAATTGGGGAAAGACCCAAGTAGGTAGAGGGAAATTAATATCTTGAATCGGTTTGGATTGGATCGGTTCATCCAAAAATCGATCCAATCCAATCCAATTAAAATTTGTGATTTTTTTTTTTATTTTTGATTTTTCAATTTTCAGTTTATTCGGTTATCGATTTTTCAGTTCGGTCACCACAGTTTGAATCGGTTGATGAACACCCCTAATCATAACAATTGGGTCAGAAACCTTAAACTATTGGTTCATGGTCCTACCATATGACCAATGTGGAAGTTTTTCTCATTTGTGAGTTATGCTCCTCCTCAATGGAAGCTCTTGGAATACCTTAGGGTTAAGTACTACCTCAATGCCCAGGCCCAAATAATTAACTCATCTAATCCGAGTCAAACTTAGTGTTGATCACTGCCAATAGGCTAACTTAAACTAATCATAACAAGTAAGCCAAATACTATCTCTCAACTTAAAATCTTAAATGGTTGAATTTATGTATGATCCCACATATATGGTCTTCACTTATATTATAACCAATCAATTTAAAACTCAATCACTCTTAAATATCTCAAGGGTATTGTTATTGAAAAATGTGAGTGTCATGTTATATGATATATACATCTTATGTCAAGAACACAAAAAGGTGCTGGTCCTAATGAAAAAAAAACCAAAAAAATGTGGATTCCACAATTTTTGTATCTATGGCATGACATAAAATGTGTTACGTGTCACTTTTCAAAATTGAGAACAAGCAACACCGAGGGAAAGAGAGTGAAAGAAAGGAAGACGAAGAAAAAGAGGGAAATTGAAACACATGAACTGTAGTTGCTAGGCGTTACTCCCTGAATTTCAATCGGAACTGTATTAAGGGTGACGCTGTTGAAATAGCACCGTTTAGAACATCATTTTAAATAACGTGTTGTAGGTGGTGGAACTGTAAAAGTCATGTGATAGCGATCCACCGAAGACGGTCTTCACTGCTATGACAGTATTGATGAAATTTTCATGAAAGAGATCTCTTGACTATTCAAATTTGCCAAATTAATTATGATAACCTAATTACCATCACGAATTATTACACACGTTTTCTTATTTCACTTTTTATATATTTGGATGAGAAATGTTATATTTTTTTTTTTTTGATAACAGAAATGTTATATTTACAACCTATTTTCGTTCACAACTTTTTACAACTATATCTTAACCGTTGATTTCCGTCAATCAACGGTTAAGATTTTCGCAAATTAAATTTATTAATTAATTATTTAATCACAATAGATGATAATCGTTGATTGGCGGAAATCAACGGTTAAGATATGATTGTAAGAGGTTGTAAACAAAAATAGGTTGTACGTATAACCTTTCCCTATTTGCATTGCCAAAAATTAAAAAAATAGAAAAACATTTTGGGGAGGTTCTTTTACCAATGTAAGATTAATAAGTCTTACACCACATCTCAGCCGTTGATGGACGTAAATCATAGGTTGATATTTGTAATGTAATTAATGATTAATTAATATTAATTAATTTGTATGACTTCCTAAATCGTAACCATTGGATGCACGGAAATCAACGACTGAGATGTAGTGTAAAACTTATTAATTTTACAACGGTGTAAAATGATCCTGATCCAAACTTTTTATATGTTTACTTTTGAAAAGGAGGAAGGAAAATTTTCCGTCACATTCTTGGTTTAATCATGCAATTACAAATTACTGGATTTTTTAATAATAATAATAATAATATTTTAAATTGAGCTTGTGGCTAGCTATAGTGAGTAAAAAGAGGGTAAAAGATTTTAAATTATCATAATTTTTTTTTCACACAAACATGCTTTAAAAAGAGGGTAAAAGATTTCTCCGAGTCAATGGAGATAGTTATCTCCGGTAAGCCCAAAATGACGTCGTTTTGGGATGAAAATCAAGGTATTTTTATAATTTTAATATATTGCAGGGTTATATTTTTCCTTATCATTATAATTTTTTAATCTTATAACTCCAAAACGACGTCGTTTTGAGCTCACTAGAGATAATTTTATCCCTGCAGTGACTGGAGAAATACTTTTCCCTTAAAAAAATTCTTTAAAAAAAGATTACTTGTAAGATGGATGATTATTGATAGACAATAATAATTTTATATTACATTTTTCTAACACTTTTCATTCAAGAATTCATTAAATTTGAAGAATGGATAATATGGTATAATGCAACAAATTTAATCTAATAACTTAATCTTGTAAGTAATTCCTCCATTAATAATTTTATATTAAACTTCTTCATTAATATCCCAATTCAGCTGTTTAAGCTGATGAAAGTCCATACATCAATGTTTTAAGTTATATTGGACACGTTCAAGTTCCTTAACATTGTTTCTGAGATGAAACAGTTTTTTCTAATTCTATACCTTAGAAGAGTTATGAGAATCAAAATCACGTTTGTTAGCATACATTTAATTTTTATTTCAAAAATTAGAATTACGTTTGTTATCATATTTTTTTTTTATTCTGAGAATCAGAATTACGTTTAATAACACAATACAACCGAGGTGCTTGGCCAATAAATGTGGTTGTCGGCATCGATGGGCAAGAGAGAAAGAAAGAGATGGATGGCCGATGAGATGTTATGGCTTGCAAGCGATGGTGCTTAATTGGTTGGTAGGGTTAATGACAGGATGATGGAGGAAGACAATGATGACTTTGGCAAAGGGGAGGAGAGATGGCTAGGTCGGTTGTGAGAGACTTGCTTGTGGGTCGGTGGTGGGTGTTTTGTAGATTCAGCGGTGGTGGAGGCTAGTGGTCGAAGGGTTGGGGTTTTGGTGGGATTTGATCGAACGAAATTGGTGGTGGTCGTGGAGGTTTGTGGCGGAGAAGATGATATTAATTTGGGGTTTCAATGAAAGGTGGAATGGTGATATGCCAATGAGAATGAGGTTTGTCGATGGTGGTTTGGTTGGGCACGGTGGTGGATATATGGTTCGCCGATGAAGATGGGAGGTGATGGCTGGCTTATATGGTGGTTATGGAGGTCGGTGGTTGTTGGAGATGAAGGACAGTAGGGGTTGCTAGGCGATAGAGGAAGATGAAGGGGAAATGGATTTGGATTTCTAAAAAAATAATAATTAAATTTTTGTATTTTAATTTTGTTTCAAAAAAATTTTAGAGAACGAGTTGAGAGTAGCAAATGAAAAAAAGAAAAAAAGAAAAATGATTCTCTTTTTGGGTCTTGGAACCAATGTTATTAAAACCGGCCCGCTCATTGACCCGGTCGAGATTCTGGGTCACTGAGTCACTAGTTCAACCAGTGGGTCACTGGTTCAACCGCATGACCCGATAAATGTATAAAATTTTATAATTTATATTAAAAGATTATAAACATACTCAAATATCTAAAAGAAAGATAAATATTTCAAATATTTTAATATAAAAAATAATAAATGACACATTATTATCCAACAAAAGATCAAACAAAAATATAATGATCGTGATATGAAACTTTAGGTTAAGAAAATGACATCTCTAACTATAAATCAAATCAAAATTTTCTGCGTAGTGCATAATTGAGATAATATTAGTGTTGTAGGTACATAACTTATGTAAGTCAATAAGCAAAAAAAAAATATTCAAATATATCCATTATGATTTTTTTTTGAAAAAAAAAAATTAGATTTTTTTTTTGGGACCGGGCCGGGTCACCGGTTAACCGACCGGGTCACACCGGTTCTGATGCATAACCGGTCCGTTGCTTCAACCAGACCGGTTATATGACCGGTTTACCGATTCCCGAGTCGACCCGTCCGGGTCGGTCTGGGTTTAATAACACTGCCCGGAACAGAGAAGCAAACTTTTTTTTGTTTCTTTTTTTATTTCCAGCACAAAAATTAAAACGATTCATCGCGAGAACAAAAAAATATACTAATTTTACCAAATGTTGTTTATATTTGTTTTTTGATCTCGAGGACAGAAATTAAAAAAAAAATTGATTCTCAAATGGTTGTCATAAATACCCTCCTATGCAGGAACACTGGCTCATTCTTAGCTCATATGAACATTAACTCTATGCTTGGATTTAGCTGGATTTAGCTTAAGACAAATGAAAGAGAATATTTAAAATTTAACTTTTGACTTTATTAATTAAAGATGAAATAAACAATAAATAAAAATTTAAAACAAACAAAAACATTCAAAATTTTATCTTAATTTTTTTTCTCCTTTGTAAAATCTCTCTCCACTTTTATTTCTCTCATCCTCATGAATGATAGAGAAATAAACATTGGCCGATTAAAGCACATTTAAAAAAAGAAAAACGATAGTTAGTCAATAAGCCGAGCAATAAAGCATGTGCATGATACGGGGCAACATCCACCCATTGACTCAATGGTTTTACCATTAAGAGTCTCTTCAACAAAAGACGACATACAACAATGGGCGATGGTTAATTTGTCAATCGTCTTTAGTTTCCCAATGTGTTATACCATCCAAGACCAAATATTCATAGGCAGGTCAATGTTGTTTCCATGCAGAATTTTATAAAAAATATTTAAGACTAACTAGTTGTTTGCTATTAAATGGGGCATGGATTTTTTTTTCCGTTTTTGTTTTTTAAATAGACAATGCTTTGATTGATTTATAATAGTTTCCTATTTTTAAGAGCTAAAATGTGAAACAAAGCTTATTTTTTTTACTTGTGTTTTATCCGATTATTTTTATAACTTTTTTTTTTCATATAATTTGTTTTTGAATACCAAAATAAAACCCCATTTTAGTTGTGTTTCTTTTTCTGAGGTTATTTTCATGGATTATCTACGTTGTTGCCACACCTGCTGCGATTGTCGCTGGAGTTGCTGCCGCCAGTGGCTGACCCACTTGGGGGCAAATGCTCGCAAGTGCGGTCATAAAAAAATTTATTTTAGTTTTTTTTTTGTTTCAGGTCCTTATTTGTCTTTTGGTTCAATATATATATATATATTAGGAGTAAATATCTTTTTAAGTTCCTAGCAAAAAACATGATCCTCATTTTAATTCCATACAAAAAAAAATAGTCTCGAGGTCCCTAAAAAATTTAAATTGAATTAATTTAGTTAAAATCGTGGTCCCTCGCAAATTCAAAAAAGACCTACATTAGTCCCTCAAAAAGACAAAAATTGGTCCACTTTGAATTTCATAGGGACTAGGTGACTAATTTTTTTTATAATGGACTAAAGTGGGCGCCGAATTTTTTCTTAGGGATGAAAAAAGATATTTATTCTTATATTAATTAGCAACGTACGGAGATGATTAAAACAACGTAACAGCACAAATTGATTAGAGAGAAAACTTATTCTTCCTCCCATCCTACAAAAAAAAGGCATTTAGCGGCGGTTCATTTTTGGTATACGCGACGGTTACAACTGCCTCTAATTGCAAAAATGCATTTAGCGACGGTTGTAACCGTCGCGTATACCAAAAATGAACCGCCGCAAAATGCCTGTTTTTTTTGTAGATGTCACGTACTTATTCTCATGCTCTCTTCATCCTTCGTTTCCTTTTTCATTTTTATAAAAAGAGAGGATTGATTGCAGGTCTGACATTCTCAAATACGTTAATATCTAGAGACGAGGCCTTCACTGTGATTTTGCTTGCCTTATGTACTAGTAGTGTTGACTTTTTTATTCACCACTATAAAATAGAATGATGATGTATGGTAAGATTTAGTGGGGAATAATTAGTCAAACTATTGCCTGCAGCTTGTTATGGAAGCAACTAAATTATGAGCGGGTTTAAGCGTTGATTTAAACTTTCTTTACAATAAAAAATTTCGAGGTCTTGCCCCCGAACCCCCACCACTAAATGTGTGGACATAAATTTTTTTTCCTGAGTCCGCCACTGGCTGCCGCACTGTCATCAGACCTAACATTATTTGTTGTGAATAGCTCATATTTCATATTCAGACCTTGATTCTTCTTGGCGTGATGCAGAGAAAACCAATAAGGTCCCACTGTGTTGTGGGTGAAGGTCTGCTAGTGTTGTGGAGGCCTAATACAGTTGTGAATCTCAAATTTATTTTATTTTTTTCTCTTTTTTATAATAGTTTGAGTTTGCACATAAATAATTATTGTTCCTTAGGGTTTCTAACCCCTTACAAACATAGTGCTTTGAAATATATACGGTGTGGAGAATATAGGTAAACATTGCTAGACTTAGCACACATTGGATAAATCAGGATAAATTTGTGTCTCTCTGCTTTCTTCTATTCTCTCTTGTGTTTTGCAAGAGTGTGTGTAATTATTCGGTTCCAAAACTTTTGTGGGAATATCATCAAGTTTCTAAAGTTTATTATCAAAATAAAATTTATCAAATTAAGTTTTTCATATTTTCATTTAATTTGTAAACTAATTCTTTAAAAAAATTTAGTGAAACAATTTTCAAAAACAAAAACAGAATCAAATGCCTGAAATCTACGTGGACAAAAGAAACAAATAATTTACATGTATTCAAATCAGAATGCGGTTCAATTATTAATAAAAGTGACATGACACTTTATTGATATTTTAATAGATTTAGTGATGAATATTTAATCTATTTAAATCTCTCAATATAAATAAAATAAATATAAATAATGTATTTAAATATAACTAAATGATTTATTTAAATAAATTAAAGTTATCAATGAATTTGTTAAGATATATACCTTAATTAATAAAATATCGTTCCACGTAGATATTTGTTGTAGGAAAATGTTGGGAGACCAAAGTCGGACATTAACCATAATAAAAAGATTATGATTAAAGGTGAAATTAAGTTTAAGAAAAACAAAAAGTCTAGGATTCAAATTGAACGAAATAGTTACTTCTAATTTCAGTGATAGAGAATAATGCATAAGCTTTGTACCCAAAAAGAAGAAGAAGAACATTAGAAGCCATGCATGCACCCTATATAAATTAAGTTCAATACCGAATATCGAAAAAAGAAATGCCATATATATCCCGGGCTACAGATTTGAAAATTTTTGCAGTCTTATTAATCTGTCCAAAGAGTCAAGTCTATTTCGCAATCAACATCGTCCCAATCCAATGTTTTCTTCATGGACGGTGGCGTAATAAGAAGACCCTCTGCCATACTATCTAGCAAACCTGGCATATTATACAATGCTTCCTCATCAATGAACATTGATTTGGACTCATCATCATTATTCATAATCTTCTCTTGTGTACATGTGTTTTTAAAAATATTATCATCAACTAGTACCCTTTCTTGGCTCTTACCTAATTCCACCAAACAAGGGTTTGTGTTGATCCATAAATTGTTTGTAGAGGATGAAGGGTTGGTTAGTGTAAAAGCCTTTGCAGCTTCTCTTATATCTGCTGCTGAAGTTGACTTTACAACTGGAATAAGAGAAGCTAAATGAGGGAAATTAAAAACGGCTGAACTGCCCTTAAGTGCCAGGGCAGCCACATCATGTGCCCTAGCTGCCATTTCTGGCGTAGGGTAAGTCCCAAGCCATATCCTTGACTTCTTGTTTGGTTCCCTTACTTCACACACCCATTTGTTTCCGTTTCTTTGCCGGACACCCCTATAAATCGGGTGTCTTGTCTCCCGGAACTTCTTTCTTCCTGTTTTCCTCTTGTGAGAGCTTGACAATGCCTGTGCATGTGCATGCAATAATGAATCTGATGGAGAATTGGGGTTGCATGGTGTGCTTGGTGATTGGCTTTGAGAAGAAGTGGAAGATGGTGAAGATGAATAATAAGGAGATTCATTTCCAAAGTCCATAATTATATGTATATGTGTGTAGCCTCCACAATAATGTATGTGTATATATAGTTGAAATAGAGATCAAATATCAAAGAGAGAGGGTCGCTAGTTGAAGGTCTTGGGTGTTGGGAGTGGTATATAAATGGAAGAGTACTAGTTCAAGTTTGCAAGGTCAAAGATAATAAGAAGATGTTGGCTGACGGAGAAAGGAAGGGGTTAATTTGGCACTGAGAGATAAAGTCGAAGGAACACGTGCCACACACTAGGAATTGAATTTTGTCATCTATGGCTAATTTTGAGATTGGTAGGGTCGACTTCAGTTTTGTTGGACCTTTGGTATTAAGTCTACTCTCAAATTTGTTTTATACACAAAAGAATATATATTTACACGATCAGACATATATATATATATATATATATATATATATCAAGTCAAGATAACATTATTTTTTGTCACCTCAAAATTATATCGTTTTTGGTGTTTTGGGGTGTTAGAAGAATTCATGAAGGATGTTTTGGTATTTTTGTTTATTTATTATTATATGAATTTTATGAAAATACCCTTCATTAATTCTCCCAATACCTAAAATGACATAATTTTGGGATGACCGAAGATAAGATTATCTCAAGTGACTTAAGAAACGATAAACCTATATACATATACATATGTGTGTGTTTTTTTTTTGGAAGTCAATGTATATATCAAGTGTGACTTAAGAAACGATAAACCTATATACGTATACAGGGGAGGTTATACTTACAACTTATTTTTGTTTACAACCTCTTACAACCATATCTTAACCGTTGATTTCCGTCAATCAACGGTTATCATTTATTGCGAATTAATAATTAATTAATAAATTTTATTTGTGAAAATCTTAACCGTTGATTGACAGAAATCAACGGTTAAGATATGGTTGTAAGATGTTGTAAACCAAAATAGGTTGTAAGTATAACCTTTCCCTACATATACATATACATATATATAGGGTTCGTTTTTTTTGCAGTCAATGTAGATAAGTTATCTACACTTATCTATATTGAGCTCAAAACGATGTTAATTTGGGACAAAAATCACAATATTTTTGTAATTATGATTTATTTTAGGATTATAATAGTCTTTCTCATTATAATTTTTTAATCTTTCAACCCAAAATGACGTCGTATTCAGAGTGAATGTAAATAATTTATCTACATTTACTATGGAAATATTAAAGTCACACACACACACATATATATATAGGGAAATGTTATATTTACAACCTAGTTTCATTTACAACTTCTTACAACCATATCTTAACCGTTGATTTCCGTCAATCAACGGTTGAGATTTTCGCAAATCAAATTTATTAATTCATAATAAATGACAACCGTTGATTGGCGGAAATCAACATTTAAAATATGGTTGTAAGAGTTTGTAAACTATTTGGGTTGTAAATATAACCCCTCCCATATATATATGGTAGCATAGAGGTGTCAAAATACACAAACTCGCGGGTCAGCTCGCAAAAACCTTATATTTAGCCTTAATCTATGAGGGTTTTTTTTTTTTTTTTTTTTTTTTTTTTTTTTTTTTTTTTTTTTTGTACTAGGGCATCCTCAAAACCCCATAATTTAGTGGGTTGGATTAGGGCTGATCCGCGAGCTAAACCTTTTCTTTTTTCAAAATTTTTATTATTTAAAAATATAAAAAATATATAAATTTAAATATATATAAATATAAAATAAATAGTAAACATAATATAAGTAAAAATAAAATTTTTAATAGTGATATGTTTCAACAGAAAATTTCATCTACGCATTAGTAAAAATAAAATTTTCTATTTACATCTAAACATGTTGTATATCTAAATTTGCATTGAAACATATTGTATACAATGCACCTTTATAATTTTATGGATAATAATAAGCAAAAATGTTTTTTTAACGGTAGTAATTGAAGAAAATTAATATTTTAACTTTTAAATATATAGCATACTAATATCCATTATTTGTACTAAGATCATTTTTTCATCATAACTTTTGGTTTTCCACTAGAGTACGTTTATTTTGTTATGACTTCTCGTGAAAAAATATTCATTTGATGACATCATTTAAAAACAAATTTAGTTAAGGTAGGAACTAAATTTGTACGTATATTGAAATTTTGTTTATATTTTTATTTTTATATATTTGTGTACAAATATTATTTTATTAAAAAATTAATTTATAAAAATTTGTAATTTGTATAAAATATTTTAAGAAAATATTAAATATTTATTTGTTAAAATAAATTTTTATGTATTGAATATGATAAAAAATAAAATTTTATGAAATTATAATTTTAGATGACCTGCGGGCCGGCTCCTAGCCCATAGAACTTTTAACCTGTACAAATTTTTATTATTGAGAGCCATTTAGCTCTGTGAACTTTTTAGCCTCAACCCACACAAGCTAGGATTTAATAGTACAGATTGACCCATTTTGATACGCACACGTTGGTACTTGACTAAAAAAGAGCAGCAGTAACGTTTGCATCCTCAAATTAATTAATGGTGGGAGAAAATGAACCAAAAAAATTATACAGGAAGAGGAAAGCATTTTCGTAATATATCAACTTATTAATGGTGCTAATGGCCCATTCATTGACCCTGACTTTAATATAACGGAAAAATAAATTACAACGTGAGAAACAGAAATTAAATGAATGACGGAATTACTAACATGAAATCATGTTACCAAAAAAAAATAATAATAAGAATTTGACACGAACGGCACAAATACATCAACACGAATATGACATAAATTTTTATTTGTGTCAAAATCTTTAACATGAACTCGACATAAATTTTTTGCGGGTTGACACGACACGATACGAATAACACACAAAATAAGAGTCAAAACAGTAATTAAAATTTTTTGTTTTAAAAAAAGGGTCGAAATTAAAAAAAAAAATAAAAAAAAAAATATATATATATAAGTCAACACAAACACAAATACACTAACACAAACATGACACAAATATTTTACGTGTCATTTTTTTTAATACGAATACGACATAATTTTTTTGCGAGTCAATCCGAATATGAATTTTTATATTGTGTCACGAGTTGACCACGTGTCATAACCTATATTGACACCGCTAAATGTATGTAATCATTCAACTGGAGTAGTCTTGTATCTTCGGGAAATGTAGCATTCAAGTTTTGTCTTACTTACTTATGCCGAATTCAACGGGAAATGATTGATTTGGATTTGGTAACGAGCATATCATAAAATAATGCAGCTTAGCTATATATAATTTGAATCTGGAAAAAAAAAAATAACATGATCCTATGAAGAATTATATTCATACAAAAATGGGTCAATAGCAATAAAAAAAAAGAAAAAAATATATTAAAATATATAATTAACAAATCATAACCGTTATCACTTTTATATGATTATTATCTCCCCACATCTCTAAAGTGGTTGATTATAGGAGTCCTTAACTATCGATTGTTGGCAATGAGCACTCTGTTACGCTAGAAATGATGGTACAAATGTAGAGATTCCGGCACTAAGTCAAAAAATAATTATATCAGTACTCATTAAATAACTAATAATATAAAAATTTATCCTGTGTTTCTACTACTTACAATTTTCTTTATACTGTCTTTCAATATATATTAAATGTATCGTGATATTTTATATACAATTTCAATGGAAATTGTTTTTTGTTTTTTGTTTTAATTTATAAACAGTTGTTGAAACCCCAAAGTTTAGATGAATACCTAATTTTTGTATATTTTAGTCATGGGAGAGGTTATAGTTACTAGGGGTGTGCAAAATAACCAAAAAACTGAACCGAATCATGAACTGAACCAAACCGCTCTTTAAAATAATCGGTTTTTCATGAACCAAACCGGTTTTTAAAGAACCAGTTCATGAACCGAACCGGTTTTTAGAACCAGTTCATGAACCGAACCGATTTTTAGAACCAATTTAAGAACTGAACCGATTTTTAGAACCAGTTTAAGAACCGAACCATTTTCAAACTGAACCAAATTGATTTTTATAACTTTATTTTTTAAATTTTTAAATTTTTTTCTTTTCAAAAGAGGGTCGACCAGAACCGGTTCCGAACCGAACCGTTTTCGAACCGAACCGAACCACTTCCGAACCGAACCAGTTTTGAACCGAACCGAACCACTTCCCAACCGAACCATTTAAACCAATTCGGTTCGGTTTTTCATAAAAACCGGTTCGGTTCGACCCATGCATATCTCTAATAGTTATTATCTATTTTTCTTACTACTTGTTACTACTAAATCGTAATCGTTGATTTTCGTCAATCTAACAGTTATAATTTATTGGGTCATATTTATTAATTAATTATTAATTTTTAATAAATTATAACCGTTAGATTGACGAAAATCAACGGTTACAATTTAGTAGCAACAAGTAGTAAAAAAAAAAGTAGTAACTATAACCTTTTCCTTTAGTCATAAGTATTTAAAAAAAATTGTTTTTTGCCCAATACTTATTGTTATGGGCCACACATCTTGATAGCCCATGACGGAGAATAGCTATGAGATATAAGAGAATAATCTTACCTGATAAGATACCAATCTTATCACGTGGATCAAGTACTGGGCTTCTAAAAGATTAACTATCTATAGATAAAATGTTAAATCAACCAGATACACATTTATGCTATTTTTCTTAGCCGGTATTGTACACACACTAATCTAAGAGCATATTGATCCTAAATAAACTCACCAATCTGATTGAATATCCACAATTCTATTAGATCGAACACTTATATTATTATAACAATTAACAAAATTTATTTGTTGTTAGAAATGGTTATATTTACAAATTTTTAGTTTACAAACTCTTATAAACTATACTATATACTCCTAAAAGTACACCTGAGTTATATTATGTACTTCCGGGAATACATAGTGTAATTTGCAAAAATTTATAAACGAATCATTCCCCATTGTTTTTATTGTTTTGACCTTTGTTTAAAAAAAATCAACCAGACCCTTAAGTCT